GTCCCCAGTTGTCTGACCCAAAAGATAAATACTGCCACCCACGTTCAGAAAACTTGAACTAGATCCATAAATTCAACAGTGGTGGCAAAATCTTGTATCAATCCTTCATTTCTTCGATGGAATAAAGTTATAAAGAGCAGCCTCCCCTCAACAACTCTGTGTAGTTGGAACAAAATATGGGACAAATGTTTGACCCTTTCCTTTTATTTAGTAGTTTTCAAAGTAAGTTGACTCCCGTCAAATATAGCCACCAAATATAACCAATGAGGGTTCTGTTTGGGTTTTAGTATCAGTATGAATCCATGGGTTAAACATGTTTGGGAGGTTTCAGTCCACTGAGTTACTCTTACTGATGCTCTAACTGTCCTATCTCTGAGCAGTGAAAGCTTCATCAATTTAACTCCAAAGTTCTTGGGCCGCTTTCCCAATAGCCTTAGACAGCTTCCCTGCTTTCTGATACGTGCAAGACTGTACCTGTCAGTGGGAAATGGTGTTTAGAAACCACAATCTGGATGTGCTCATGGGTTCTTTCTATCTTTGCTTAATGTTTTTTATTTTGAGATAGAGAATGAGGGAACCAAGGAGGGGCAGAGAAAGAAGGTGAGAGAGAGAATTCCCAGCAGGCTCCACACCGCCAGCATGGAGTGCAATGTGGGGCTCGATGTCACAAACCATGAGATCATGACCTGAGCCAAAATCAAGAGTTGAACGCTCAACAGACTGAGCCACCCAGGCGCCCCTACTCTATTTTTATGAATACTTTCCAAACTTTCCTTTCCACCTTCCAGATTTTAGCCTCAATGAAATCTTTCTAAACTATTAAATAGGATCTGTTTATTAATTAGTCATTAACACTATGTATAACACATATACCTCACATGGAACAACTATGTGATATTAACAACATTAACAAAGTACTGCATAATAAATAAAACAACATAATAAACGAAATCTATTTTTACCCTATGGTGAGTAGACTGCTCACTCAAATATGATAAATTATTATTTATGCACTGAAGTAATCTGAAAATTTCTTAATTTATGATGCAATAAAATAACTCAATCCTAATTAATCTCCAATGGAGAAGTAGTCATCGAAGGAGGTTTACTCAGTAAGGAAAAACTTCACTGGAAAGTCACTTAAAGAAATGTTTCTTCTTCTTGTTCTTGTTAAAAAAGCAAAAATTACGGGGCGCCTAGGTGGCTCAGTAGGTAAAGCATCCAATTTCGGCTCAGGTCATGATGTCAGGGCTTGTGAGATGGAGCCCCTCATTGGACTCTGCTGGCAGCTCAGAGCCTGGAGCCTGCTTCAGATTCTGTGTCTCCCTTGCTCTCTGCCCCTCCCCTGATCACGCTCTATCTCTCTCTCAAAAATAAACATTAAGAAAACTTAAAAAAAAGAAAAGCAAAAATGTCTAAGAGAATATCCTAGAACAAATGTTACAACTTTTTAAGAAGCAGCATCTGTGGAGGTCACAGATTCAGAAATCACACCGACTGAAGAACCTAGATGCTGCCAGAGTAAGTTGTTTAGTTTTCTATTTGAACACGGTACATGAATAGTCAACATTATCAACCCAATTCATAAAAATACGTAGCACAGAGTCAGGCATACAGTTAAGTTCTCAATAAATGTAAAACAAAAAGAATTGACATACTTCCTTCACCTCCTTGAAAATCTTCACAAACTCTTCGTTAATGGATAAACTTCTACGTTCAATATCTCCACGTAAGTTCCTTCGAGTCCGCAAACTGTTTTCAACAAAAAAGGTTGAAAGAGCCTTGAGAGCTTCCAACATCTCCTACACAAGTGATAATAGAAGACGATTAATGGGGCCGGTTTTTAAATGTCTCCCTAAGCTCAAGCCAAATTTTAATTAAATCATTTTCAAAAAATGTTTGCATTAAACAATCAAAAAATACTGGGTGATCTTCACATTACTGAATAGTAAACTTATTTCCAGAACACAGTAAGGATCTACTTACTTGTATACGGCAGCATATATATAAGATTATTCACTGCAGAATAGTTTGGCATTGTAAAGACTGCATATACCCTTATTGTCCGTGTAAAGAGGGTTGGTTAAAGAAATTACAATATATTCATTTTGAGAAAGATGAAAATTCTTTATGTACTTATATCATACAAACTTCAAGATACAGGAAGTAAAACAACAATGTATGGAAACAGTCGCAATACCAACTGTTACAAAAGAGAAAGGACTGTATACATACATCTTTGCCAGTGAACAGATAAACCATCTCTGGAAGGATACAGTATATAAGAAATAAGTACCACCTGTAGCCTTCAGGCTGGGAACTGAGTAACCAGCAGCAGAACTTAGAGGAAGGCGTCTCTGAGGTGACTTCTGAACAGAGGCCTGAGTGACAGGAAAGGCATCCATGGGAACCACACCAGTCCAATAGAGGTTTTCGGCAAAGGAGTGATAAAATGTGCTAAATATGTTTAAGTTTATTCCAACTTTATGATGAGAGCAGATGGGGGAGGGGCAAGAAAGGAGGCAGACAGGAAGAAACAATAATAATCCAAACAAGATTTGACAGTGACTTAGAACAAGTCAGTAGCATTGCCGTTGCAGAGAAGATGATCCCAAACAATTTTTTTCAAGTCAGCGCCTACAGGATTTGTTAATGGACTGAATGTACGGCTCTGAAAACAATGACAGGAGTCAAAACTATTTATGCCCTTTTTGTTTGTGTGGGCAACTGATGGGCTTTACTAATAGTGGAAAGTAGAACTGGTTTGGAGAAAAACTAAGGGTCTGGCTATGTTAAGTTTTTATGATGTCAATCAGGTATCTAATTAGAGCTGTCATTAACAATCGACTGTACAAATCTGGAGGTCAGTAGACATGCCAAGAGCAGAGTTACAAATTTGAGAATCACCACCCTTTTTTGCTATTTAAAACCATGAGAGACAGAGAGTTCTCTTACGGAGAGAATATGCATAGAGAAGAGAAGGAAGAAAGAGACCAAGCCCAGGATATGCAATAGTGCCCTTATCTCCAGATACCGACTCCTACACCTGAACTAGCCTATATCCTAATGGGTTTCTATGTTTCAATTAAAATATTATTGTGCGATATTGGCTGGACTGACAAAAACAGTAAAGTTATTTAAATTCAGTTCAGTATATAAAAGAGTATTACGAAGATTTAGTGTTCAAAACAAAAAAAGATAAAGAAAAACCACAGAATGAAGCCATTTCTTTTGACTACAACCTTGAAATTTCCTAGCCTGGCTCAAAGAAGTGGTTAGTAACTCATGAATGGACAAGATCATAGAGACAGGTGCAAATTACAGTTCCCCCAGGTATTTGGTTATATTGCTGAACTTAGTTACACTCTTTCCATATCTTATTTTTCTCTTGGGTAAAAAGAGAGATGTTATCTACATCATAGTCGCTGTATTAAATGAGCTCATAAATGTCAGTATTAGACACATTACACAATAAATTATATGATAACATTAAAGTTTAGTAAGGGCCGGGCACTGAACTGAGAACTCCAGACAGATTCTCTTGGTGAATCCTCACAACAACCCTCAGAAAGCTACCAGGAGAATTCCCAACTTAGAAAAGATGAGAAATAAGCTTAGAGAAATTAAAAGACTTCCTCAAATCATAATGCTTCAGTTTGATGGTTGTATCCAACAAGAAGTGGCCCCAGAGCCGGTCTTTCTTACTATGTAATGTTATTTTTTTTACATACATTCTTATTGATGGCTTTTTTCAGTTACCTACAAATTTATCTACAAAGGTCTCTGACTGCTACATATACTTTTTCTTTGCCTAAAGAGTCAAAGATACCGAAGAGATCATCATCTAGGACACGAGCTGGATGGAGGAGTTTCAGGTGGTACTTGGGAGAGGATGTGGACAGCTTATCTTGCAAAGAAAAACAGCGTGGCCGCAGATATCACGGGCAGTGCTTAGCTAACAACCAAAACTGGTACGGATTATTTCGTCTGAGCCCTGTGCAAGCAGCAGTTCTCTCGCGCTGCAAATCATTCCAGTCGTTCTCAGTCGTCAGTGGAAACGCTCAGTTATGCCCATCCGGGTCTCCAGTTCCTCCCCCGCTTTGAGTTGTCCTGTCTTGTAAGTTACTCTGTCATGGGCTTCGAAGCCTGCCCTGGGCTCTCCTCTCTCTGCTCAGACCCCCGAACACCTCCGGGGTAAGGAGGTTTCACCGCCGGATCCAGAGTCTTCCAGGAAAGGTTTTTCAAATAAGGGGTGACATCTAAGACCTCTTTTCACTTTTCCAGGGGCCCTCGGCCCCCCTCTTCCTACCCGCCCCACGCCGGATCCGGAGGGATGGAGGAAAGAGGGAGGAGTGGGTGTCCAACAGACGCCTCCCCCGGCGAGGCTCAGCCCCGCGGACAACTCTGGACCGCGGGCCCTGACAGCCCCGGTTACCTTGTCGTTGTCCAGCCGCGTCTCCAGGATCTTACGCAGCTTCCGCGACAGCGGGTTGTTGGTCTGCGCCGGGGTCCCGCCTGCCCCATTGCTGAGGCCGTTGGCAGCCCCGGGCGCGGGTACTGCTACGACCTCCACGCCGCTCTCGGCCATAGCGCAGCGGACCCCGCCCCCAGCTCCTTGGGGACCACCACGGTTCTCCGCAAGCATCCGCGCCGGCCGCGCGAGTACTGCGCATGTGCGCAGTCTGCCGCGCATGCGCCCCGGGTCCCGGAAGACTCCGCCCCGACTGCTCAGCTGAGCCACGCGGCGGGAGGGGCGGGGTTAGACCTAGGGGCAGGTGGGAAGGGGAGACCAGATTTAAAGTTTGGGGATTACGTTGAAAAGGATTTCAGAATCCTGCATCTATGAAACTCTAAGCTAAGTTTAAGTAGCATACACTGACATCAGTGCCTGGCATGTAAATTTAGTAAACGTTAATTCTACTGTAATTAACTTTACCTGGTTTTTTAAAATTTATTGAAGGTATATTACATGCTAGGTACTCGAGTAGGCGTTAGGGGGTGTCTAAGACAGAGGAGTTAAATGTTAAGATTGTGATGAGTGCTCTGAAGGTATTGAAGTGCAATGGAAAGAGAATATTAAAGGGAGGGTCCTACTGGACCCAGGAAGGTCTGGCAAGGAGTTCACATTTAAACTGAGATTTGGAGGAGAATCTGAAACATGAGGTGAAACCATTCCCAGGTAGGAGAGAGTATAAATGGAAAGGTCCAAAGACAGGAAGAAACTTGGGCATTCCATGAATTGACCAAAGCCAGTGTAGCTGTAGAATAATAGATGAAGGAGTAATAAAATGAAAAGTAGATTCCCCAGAGGGTCTAGATATACAAATAACGTTATTTTTTAAATTTCTCAGTAAAAAAATTGAATCAGAGCAAAATCTCTGAACTTGTTTAGTATTTTTCTGAAACACAAACCATTTAGCTTCTGTCCTTAATTTGCCTTATGTTGTGTGTGGTCTATGTACAGATATACACGTATACATATATGTATACCTGGCGAAAACACTCATCCCAATCCCAACAAGTGAAGAAATGACTCAGCTAGCAAAAAGAAAAGACTCTAAAGTTCCTGTGACTCCAATAAGAAATAACAAGACCTTGGGGCACCTGGGTGGCTTAGTCGGTTAAGCGTCCGACTTTCACTTAGGTCATGATCTCACGGTTCGTGGGTTCGAGCCCCGCATCGGGCTCTGTGCTGACTGCCAGCTCAGAGCCTGGAGCCTGTTTCAGAGTCTGTGACTCCCTCTCTCTCTGACCCTCCCCTGCTCATGCTGTCTCTCTCTCTCTCTCCTAGAAATAAATAAAACATTAAAAAAAATTAAAAAAAAAAAAAGAAATAACAGGACCTAGATGAAGAAAACTGTAAAGTGCTACTGAGGGAAAAATAAAAAAGAGGGAGGGAGGGACCAAAAGAAAGAGAAACTAGAAACAACCAAAGTGTCCACTGACAAAGTACTGAACAAGTAAATTATAGTTTGTTCACTCAGTACAGCACCATGCAATTGGTACTTGGGTAGCTAAATCAGTTAAGTGATTGACTCCTGATTTCAGCTCAGGTCATGATATCCCAGTTTGTGAGTTCGAGCCCCATGATAAGCTCCACACTCACAGTGTGGAGATTGCTTGGAATTCTCTCTCTCTTTGCCCCTGCTCTCTCTCTCTCAAAATAAAGAAATTTAAAAACAACAACAACAAACAATACTATGCAACTGTTACCTACTACAAAGGAAAGTTAAATGCTAATGTAGAAAGAATTCCAAAATACAATATGTGAAAAAAACAAGATGCATTATAATGCACATAGTGTGATGATCCCTGTGTGTAAGAAAGAGATGGATACATGTAAATTTAACCTTTTTCTCTTGTTTCAGGATGGCATTCCTGTGGAAGGGAGGCTTTTACTTTTCGTTTTGTGTCTTTCCAAATGGATTGAAAATTCCTAATCTTACCCATTTGCCAGTGAATTATTAACAGAGATTATCAAGGTAGGGTAATTATGGCCTATTTTTCTTTGCTCGCTTATACTTCCTTGAATTTGCAATTGTAAAAAAAAAGAAACAGAATCTTTTGAAAATTAGAACAATATGTGGTAGTATAAAGACAGAAATTAATGTTCAATTTAAACATACTTAAAACCATTTGTTCATTTTTTAAATTATCATATGTTCTATAAGACTAACTATAAATTATAAGTTAAGTGCTTAAACTCAATATTTTTCCAAAGTTAAAATAAATAGTCTGGTGAGCCTTGGCAGAGACCTATTTATATATATGTATTCATGTAATTGAACATAAAGGTTTTCTTTTCATGAAAATGTGAAGGATAATTTTGTATCTTGAGCTCTTCAGTACACTAGAGCACGAAAAGACTTAAAGACAGGCTCTAGTTTAAATATTTTAGTTTAATGGAAGAATTAAAACATGCTCATAAAAGAGCAAAGCATTCTTGGGGAACCAGGGTGGCACAGTTGGTTAAGCATCTGACTCTTGGTTTCTGCTCAGGTCATGGTCTCCCAGGTGGTGGGTTTGAGCCCCTCATCCTGCTTGGTACTCTCTATCTCCCTCTTTCTCTGTCCCTCCCCTGCTGCCGCTCGCTTTCTATTTCTCTCTCTCTCTCTCTCTCTCTCTCTCCCCCTCTCAAAAATAAATACATAAACTTGAAAAAAAAGAGTACAGGATTCTTACAGAACTCCAGGGGAAATGTGCTGTAGAGTAAAATGTAGAGATTCTTACTTTCCAAGTGATGGTTGAAAGCAGGGCTTCCCCGATTTCTGCCTCTTCTCCTTTCAATGGTTATTTAAGCTTCCTTGCTCTTTGGCTTCTGAAATAAGTGGAAGTCCTATTATACTGGTATGGCTTCATTAAGTATAAGATGACATTTATTAAAGCCACATCTGGTGAGTCATAGAATTTTTAGCCCTCTATATTTTTCACGGTATTGATAGCAATAGCTCTTATCACTTAGCATTCAAATTTATTGATAATCCGACTCAGTGCTAGATCTTTTTAATACACTATTCTTATCTTGATAACTACCCTGCAGCATAAGGATCATTGCCACCTTATCGTGTAATTGGTTCTCTGATGACTAATCCAAAATGAACAAAATCTTTCCAAGGACATATAGCTAACCTTAGGTCACAGCTAAGTTGGCAGTTAGTTGCCAAATTCTTTTACTGCTTCCTTGGCTTTTGTTTTGAGTTGTGTACATGTCTCACTTGGAACATAGGCAAAAATTTTGTAGCTAAACATTCAAATGTGTTTTATGCTGGCATTGGCTTGACACCATTCTTATTGCCTTCACATTGACACCAGCATTTTTTTCTTTAAAAAAATTTTTTAAATGTTTATCTATTTTTGAGAGAGAGCACAAACAGGGGAGGGGCAGAGAGAGAGGGAGAGAGAGAGAATCCCAAGCAGGCTCCATTCTGCCAGCGCAGAGCCCAATGTGGGGCTCCAACCCACGAACTCTGAGATCATGCCTGAGCCAAAACCAAGAGCCAGACACATAACCAACTGAGCCACCCAGGTGCCCCTGAGTTAGAGATCTTAATGGCAATTAATAGAAGCCGACTGTGGGTGGCTTAAGGAGAAATTTATGTAACAAAAGAATATTGGGTAAGTCTCAGAATCAACAGGAAGGGCAGAAACAAAAGGAGATGGGATACAGGTGACGATTGCCAAAAATCACTCCACACAGCTGCTCACTGTGGACCCCATTGTCATTACTGCTGAAACGTGGGGCCCACAGGTCTCAGCAACCACAGTCTTGACCCCAGACGTAGGATGCTTCCATGACACAACGACTGATGCTCTTTGAAGACTGTGTTGCTTAAAATTTTACCATTTCTGAAGAATTCTCCACTGTCTCTGCCTTTTGTTCCACTTTCTGTTGTTTCAAAGTCGAGGACAAGTGCTTTGCATTGGAAGAGCTTAGGTAACAGATTTGTGCACGTTGTCAGGGGAGCTGAGAAAGTGGACAGTTACTCAAAAATAGAAAGAATATTCATATACTATGCAGCCCCCTCCCCAACACATGCGCACATGTATACATATACGTATATGGCAGATGTCTACTTTTAGACTATAGTTTAAACTATAAGCTTTTTAAACTATAGTTTATCCCTTCAGGTGGATAATATCAACATGCACTCTTCTTCCCAATACTTATGCTTAAAAAATATTTTCACCTCATTTACTGCAACTTATTCCCCACATAACCAAAACCGTACTTACTTTATCCTTTAAGGTAACATCTCAAAATTGAATCTTTTTTTAAATTTTTTAAAAAATATTTTTATTTATTTCTAGGAGAGATAAAGAGAGACAGCATGAGCAGGGAAGGGTCAGAGAGAGAGGGAGTCACAGACTCTGAAATAGGCTCCAGGCTCTGAGCTGGCAGTCAGCACAGAGCCCGACGTGGGGCTCGAACCCACGAACCGCGAGATCATGACCCAAGCGAAAGTCGGACGCTTAACCGACTAAGCCACCCAGGCGCCCCTGAAGTCAGAAGCTCAAAGTCAAAATTCCCTCTTGTTTCATTCCCCTCAATATCATGTAGCTTATGGATTAAACTAAAGTAACTATCAAGGACTGATTTTTTAAAAAGTGTTGTTCAAGAAAGAAAAGTCACAAAACAGGTAATGTCATAGTTTTTATTTCTACAATTGTCACAAAGCTGTTATCGGAACACAGGATTTCTGTTCTCTCCATGATCCCTTTGTCTTTGGCCAGCACATCGGCTGATCAAAGTTCTTTATCCATTGAGGTGACCCAACCTTCCATACCAAGAGCAGCTGGGCCTCTGATGGGTCTGGCTGTGTTAAGTTATTGTACTTTCCTTTTAATTTTGCCCCAGGACATGGAAGTCCTAGGAAGTACACAGGTAATTCTTTAGGTCCTGGCTCTTCTTTCTGGCTCTCCTATATAGCAACACCCAACTTCCCCTTTATGGTCGGGGATACGTCACTCTGCACAACGAGATAACCTCCTTTTTTGTTTGTTCACCCAGTTCCACTAGGAGTCTCATCATCTGGTTCTACTCGGACAACTATTATTCCTCTTGGTAAGTTCTCTTTCCTAGGGCCCTGACACTTTTAATCACAAGATCTAAGCTCTGAAGTAACACGCATCTATTCTTATACTTTTAGAAGTATGAGAGCTCCAGAGTCAACATCAGCAGCAGTGCCAGACTCTTGGAGACCAAGAGCAAAATCTTTGCCAAGTGTGTAATAAACATGGTGGGAGATGCCATTCCTACCCACGCCCTTTATCTGTAGATCGTATATTCTGGCTCCAGGAGAAACAGGACAAATTCTGATCTCCAGTTCAGGGAATAGCATGCATAAAACCTATGAGGTGTTATCTTCTTGCTGTTGGAGTAATGAATCATGAATAGCTTCTAGCACTATCTCGTAGTTGCTTCTTCATAATGGAAAACATAGTAAGACTAACGAATTCCATAGGCATTACATTACTTCTTTCAGTGTAAAGCAGTTTCCTAGGGAAGAAGCAATGTTGCATGTGAAATTATGGTGGTAAATAAGGTATTCAGTAAGTCAGTGGATGGTAGTAAAAGAGACAAATTCAAGTATGATTCTAGTTCAGCAGAACAAAATATTTCTCCCTACGTGACGGAAAGAATCTAATCATTCAAAGGCTGCTCGTCCTTCTGGAGTATGTTAGTATACCAGAGACTCAGGTTTGGCTGTGGCTGGAAAATTTGGGCACTCAGCATAGTTGGTGGACAGGAAAAAGGAAATCCATGTCACTGAAACTACCACTGTCACCATTTTACTTTGTTCATGGCCCCAAATGAGCAAACTTCCGGGTGGTTCGGAAGAAGTATGACTGACATCCATAGAGCTGGTCATTCTGTTCATCTGATTATTAAGAACTTGCATTGCAGTGAGAGCTACCTGGTCCTCCAAAGCCTTTCCGTTAACAGGCCTGTCATTCCAGAGTGAACATGGGCAATAATTTGATTAACTTTTTTAGCCACTGCATGCCACAGGCTGCTCAAGCCCTGTCCCTCAATATTAGGCAGTTTTACTTTGTCAGCCCCAGTTAGACCAGATAGAAAAATACTGTATTTCCCTATCTTTTCACTAAGGATTAGTTGCTAATAAACAAATAAAAGAATCCTTGTGAGAAAGGGAGAACCAAACTCAGAAAATAGGCTCAGAAAATGTTGCCAGACCTGTGGTGGAAATGACTCCAAGACCAAGTTTTTGGAGACATCTCTAACCCCAAGCCGAACCCTGGCCTCTTTGGTTGATTCTGTGTATGTTGTGCCTACCGCTGGCTACCTCAGCACCGCTTACCATCGGAAACAACTGCGCCTCAGACACCACCTCCAGGGAAAATTCCACAGCTAGTTTCATTGTGCTTCTGTGTTTGTGTGTCTCCTTAGTAGAACCTAAAGCACAGGCCCGTACTCTAGTTTCTAGAAAAGCTGAGAAAATGAGTATGAGAGTTTTAGCTTTCATTTTTGGTTAAATCAATTTCTCTGTGGAGGCCCTCATAGCACGTTCTGTCTTTGCTGCATATTTCTCTCAGGGACTTGGAGTAATGATCCCATGTTCTCCATGCATCTTTAATCACAACTTCCCAGCCCTTTTTTCACACCTATTCTTTGCCTTTACTGATCACTCCTAAGTGTTTACGAATTGAGGCTTCTCACATTGCAATACATACTGATTTCTCTGATCTCTCTGTGACTTCATGAATTTTGAAAGTGGCCTCAAGTTTCTCATTTTCTTTTTTATTCAGACATTTTCGGCAGTAGTTCCCATCCTTCAGTTTAAATTCTCTGAAACCTTAGCAGTCGTGGAGGTAATGGTCTCAAATTTTTTAGCAATAAAATTATGTCCAACCTCCTTCAAACGAAATTTAAAGGACAGATAACAGTGTGGCCGATCTGAATGAAGCACGTGTCAGGCTCTTGCCCTTTCTCCACTAAGGACAGCCCTTTCTTAATCCATACGGCCTCCTCTAGGCTGCCTGTATCACTTGGAGTTTTGAGGTTGCAACGTAACTGACTGTAATTTATTGGAAGGGTATGAAGGCTCAAAGTGCTGAAGGGAAGACTGAAGACTCAACTAAGAACCAATAGCAATAGGAGAGCTCAGTGGCTAGAACCACTTTTTGGGTTTCAGGGCACTCATTGCTAAGTTGTTTTTTTGTTGTGTTTTGTTTTATTTTAGTTTATTTATTTTGGTTTTTTTGTTTGTTTGTTTGTTTGTTTTGCCTTTGCTCAACATTAAAGTCCTGAAGCAAGCCCACTTTGGCCACATGCCCATCCATTGGTCAGGACATCATGATTTACAATCTCAACCTGATAGCATGCAACACCAGAAAGTTAATTCTGGTCAACCTAATAGCTATAAATTTGTGGTCTCGGAGACAGATAAGGAAGCAATGTATTAGGAAAGGTGCAAAATCAACTAGGTAGTAAAGAGATTCATTTTAATCCCAGCCCAGGGAGAGGTGGGGGACTGTCCCTAAAGATTCCAGTTAACATTGAGCAGACAGCAGAGGTTAACTGCAGCTAGGTGGGGTGAGAGGTATAATTAGGCAATTATATTTATGAAGGTGTCATAGTGAGAGTTGTGTCCAGAGTTATAGTAAAACTCAAATGGCTCAGAATAGCTGTATGAAACCATTTGTGAGGAAATACAAGGATTTGAAAAACCTCCTTTCTATATGAAAAGGTTTGGCAGATTTTTAATTTTTTTTTTAAATTTGTGTGTGTGTGTGTGTGTGTGTGAGAGAGAGAGAGAGAGAGAGAGAGAGAAACAGAACACAAGTAGGGGAGGTGCAGAGAGACAGGGAGACACAGAATCCAAAGCAGGCTCCAGGCTCCGAGCTGTCGGCACAGAGGCTGTTACAGGGTTCAAACTCGCAAACCATGAGATCATGACCTGAGCCAAAGTCAGACAATTAACTGACGGAGCCACCCAGGTTCCCCTGAAAAGGTCTGGTATATTAATAGGCAGCTCAGGTATCGTTATTCCGGAAATTGCCACTAGGTTCCAAGTCCCTGTCCAGAATCTCTGGTCATCACTTGAAAGTTTTTGAGTTAAGAGATAATAAATGACAGCAACTCCAGGAAAATGTAAAACTAACCAGAGGAAAAATAATGAGAAAATCAAATCCTTGGAATCAATATTTCTATACTAAATTTAGGACATTATGCAGAAAATAAATACATAAGAAAATGGGAAATTTGAACAGTATATAACCATCCAAAAAATGTGTTGCCTTGTTCTTAAATCTAATATGTTAGGGGTGCCTGGGTGGCTCAGTCAGTTAAGCATCCTACTCTTGATTTCGGCTCAGGTCATGATCTCACGGTTGTAAGACTGAGACCTGCATCTGGCTCTGCACTGAGCATAGAGCCTGCTTGGGATTCTCTCACTCTCTGTCTGACCCTCCCCCACTTGCGTACATGCTCACTCTCTCTCTCTATCAAAATAAATAAACACTGAAAAAATCTTATATGTTAAATCTGACATATTAAATTTATAATTTTCATTTGAAGTGTTTTTTGTGATTTTAAACTTAATAGATGCAGTCTTATTTGATACATTTAAAAAATTTTTTTAACATTTTATTTATTTCTGAGAGAGAGAGAGAGACAGCGTGAGAAGGGGAGGGTCAGCGAGAGAGGGAGACGCAGAATCTGAAACAGGCTCCAGGCTCTGAGCTGTCAGCACAGAGCCCGATGCGGGGCTCGAACCCACCAACTGTGAGATCATGACCTGAGCTGAGGTTGGCCGCCCTACCAACTGAGCCACCCAGGTGCCCCTTATTTGATACATTTTTAACAGGATTTATAAGTTTAAATAAATCTGAATTATCAAAGCTTTATTATTAGGTTTATAAGTATCATTTAAGTACTAAAGAAAATTTTGTTAAGATTTGTAATTCCACTTGCTTATCTCTTTGAAGTATTTTAGAAAACCAGATGTATTAAATATTTATTTTAAGTTGAAAAGTTTCAGATAATTAAAACAATTGCATTTACAAAGACTTTTAATTAATTAGGAGAACAGACACTTTGCATGACTTTAATGTGAAATGCTTAACATGAGTTAAATTTATAAGTTGTACTTAAATGTTTGGGGAAATTTGGTATTTTAAATTCAGAGACTAGCTGAGTATTAATTAAGAATCACTAGATATGTAAGTAGATTTATTTGATATATAAGTTACATGTATAACTTATATTTAATATTTTCATATGTTGACTGTAAATGAAAATAAATGCAGATGTAAAGATTTCTTTCTGTATACAAAAGCTATCCATATATGTTTAAGAAGAAAGCACCTCAATTGTCACAAGTTAATTTTCCAAAAGGATTGATGTATTATCACCGCGAGAAGGGAGAATGATGCTTGATGGCCCCAAAATTACAAATGTCCACCACGCTTGCCCCTGCGAGGCCTTTTGGACTCTGTGGAGCCCATTTGAAAACCCCTAGCAAAGTGGTCAATGCTCTGGTCTTGTGGTTTGAGTCTCAGCTTGGCCACAGGGTGACACTGGGCAGTTCACCTGTCGCCTGCCATTCTTTGTCTCCTCTGCAAAATATAGTAATGCCACCCGGGTTACTGAGTCATGAGGATTTGATGAAATCCAATGCGGGCAAGATATAGCATATAATCTGTAGAGTGACACGTCGTTGCCACATTCATGCGAGCTATAGCTCACCACCAGGGGTGGAACCAAACAATAATCTTTCATTTTTGCCCAGCTCATGCAACAGTTTCTCATTTTCATGCTGAGCACATAGCGTTTCACACATTTCCTATCGTCTTTCAGCTTCTGGCTTCCTCTGGCGCACACATATACACACTTCCATAGTGAGGTGTGAGCACTCGTGTGCTTCCTGGAGCTCTGATCATGGCCTCCGCCTTATTTGGATGCATGTATCTGACTCTGCAAGCTTCTACTTGTGTCTACTTGTCCATTCTCGTCCTAATTTTATTTAACACTTACCGCATTTAGTCAGCGGATAGTAATGTCTCCTGTTTAAATTGCCCCAGTTAATATTTTCATTGTTC